TAATCGTGGAGCGATGGCACTACGTATAATGGGTCATGGAAGGTTCTGTTACACGAAAGGTTGCGCATGTTAGTCCTCGATTAGGGGTGACCGGGGCAGTACCAACATCCCCAGCGGTTGGGGTACTTGATTGGGAGAGTGACACGATGGTAACAAAACTGGAGTAGTGAGAAAAATAGTGAACATGAGGATGACTTGTGATAAAAGATTGGTCCATTTGGAGTTCGGAAGCACCTCTGGCCCCAAGCCACTTGGCCTATTAAGGAAGAAATCTGTAAAGACAGAGCAAGAAGGCTGAAACTCAGGGTATGTAGTAAAAACTCGAAATGGCTGGAACCAGCTAGTAGTACAATTATACAAATCGGGCTTGAATACCAGAAATTGATAAGGAACATCAAATACTGAAATTAGAAGTATTACAGACCACAAGCCACAACTAGGTCTAAACCTCTAGAGTTCTGTAATCTAAAATATCAGGGCACCGGAACACCATAGCTCAAACTATGGAAGAAAAGTAATACGAAATCCGCAATCTGGAAGTTATGGGTAACCTATAACGCAACATGGCAAGCCTGCACCGACACACAGAAGTACCTACCTATAAAAGTAATGGGAATCAGCAGCATACTAACTAAACTAGGCATTAATGATGAGGCTTAACCTGGGCCAACATGAGTTCCTCTTCATAATACTAACTAAGCAGACTAGCTGAAGATAACCAAGATTGGAAGTAACTTTTGAGGCTACGAGGCCATATCTCAGAAGAGACTACCAAATTTGAGAGCTTAGGTATAAGTGATATGAGAGATGCGGGGAATAACGTCATAGAGAAGTGTATCAAAATAGGACTAGTGAAGGGTGGAAAAATACTGAGTAAGTACTATCCATAAGGACGTACCGCTTCAGTAGGTTTGAATTGCAGATAATGGATTAGTGGCCAGATAGCGGATGGGGACATCTATTGCACAAGTGATGGTTTCGGCCAGAGTATAGATAACCAATAGGATCTGGGTTTGAGCTTAATGTACTTGATATATGTAAATACGAAAATATAGTAATACATGTAATGAAAGTATTAACAATAAATAAAGTTATAGGCAAGATTCCACCTGAACACCAAAAAAAAAAAAGAATTCTGAATGTTAATTAATATTTGTCGGAGATGATGCTGAAATTAGCTAATGCTGAAATTTAGAGTTTCTATTTAAATCTATAATACCTACTAAAATTTACATATACTTTTTTTACTAACAACACTAACCCTAAACTCTAAACTAACCCTAAAAAAAAAAACTCTAACAAAAGGCCTGAAAATTTTTTAAAATTTCATAATAAAATAGATCAAAATTTTAAAATCATCCGATTTCAGCATCATTCCCGACAATATTTAACTAGACAATCAGCCAATTTCACAAAAACCATATGAACTTCAAAGAATTTCAAGTAAATTTGAAGCTGCTATTTGGTTAGCAAAACATCCATATGTACTTGATTTAGCATTTAAGATGTACAATGCAATGTCATGAACTTTAGAAAATTCTCAAAAATCTTCACCAAAATTAAAGTTTTTGTTGAGTGATAAAACATCATTAATTACTTTAGTGCCAGATCAGAAATATATTTGCTATTTTTTTATAATATTTTATTTATTGATTTATTTAATGTTAACTATATAATTATAAATTTAAATAGACAATGATAGCAAACTTAGAACTTGAAGCAAAAGTATTATTTTTAAGAACAAGAAATAATAATCCTGCATTGTATACTGAATTAGCATCTGCTGTATATGGTATCTCCAAAGTTGACAAACAGATGCCAGTATTAATTAAGAAGGTTGGTGGTTGATTTGATGATTATCGTTATCGCCTCTTTGCAAAACTTCGAAAGAGAGCTGATGAATGTTTGAATCAATTTGGGTAAATTTTAAAAATAAAAAAAATAATAAACATTGCTATTTATCACCAGTAATAATATTACCAGAAATACTATATCTCAACAACTTACTAGCTAACTTATGTTAGGAGTATTAAGTAAAAATGGTCAGAACTCTAAAAATCTAATCTAACTAAGATTTGAACCTTCATATCTAACCTTAACCTTGGTCTAAAATTGCATTCTAGCTCTAAATTTTGATAAAACAATATATAAGAAGTGGTAGTATCACCACTAGTGATAAATACTAAATTGAAAATTAAAAACTAAGCAATTATTAATATTAACTATCAAATTATAGTAATATTGCTCCTACTGATATCCAACTTCTAGACTTTATTTCTGAGGATATATGGTATAAGATACTTTCTCAATTTCTTGAAGCAACAAAACAGCCTGCTCTTCATTATAATAAAAGAATATGGAATGCCTTGGGTGATTTTGTTCAAGAAGCTATTAAGAAAATTATTATTTTAAAAATAGAAAAAACTGATATGAAAGTAGCACTTTATAGTTGTGATGCAATTATTGTCAACTTGCCAATTTTAACTATACTTGGTGTTGTCACTTGTTTGCCAGTTCAAGATTTATTAAATTATCAAATACTTATTGATAGCGATAGTTACTATTATTACATTATTGCAGCTAACAAATTTAAATAAGTTTCAATTAGATATATTTCTAATATGTATACATTAGAGATATATTAGATTATTTAATCGAATTTTAAAGTTTTTTTTGTTATAACTTAAGAATGGTATTACTAACTTTCTTAATTAAGATATATAACTAATTCTGATTGTTAAGTTTTAAGTATGACTTTAAATTGTAAAAATTTTAGTACTGTAGTATAAATATAAAAAAAAATTGTACAATAAAAGATAGAATGAAATAAGAAACTTTTATTCTTATTTTAAAAAATAATCTATTTATTCTTTATATAATTGTGATAAATCTCTGTTTCTTATATATATTAATATAATATTACTTCATCTAACAATTTTATAATATAAATTAAATCTAATCACAGATTACAGAAAATTTATTTTTACTAAATTAAATATATGTACATACTTTATAGAAATAAGCAAGCACTACAGTTTTTATACAGTTTTATAAAAAAACTTATTTTTAATATATTTTTGATCATTATTGATAGTATACTCTTAATCGTGATTTTGTATGCATGCAGGTAAAAAATAAATTTTTTGAATACGGTGAATATATGAGATTGGATAAATTTAGAGAAATTGTTGATTATTCATTATTAGTTTGTAATATGGGTAGTCTAAAATCAAGTCTTTTGTATTGGTTGCTTGAAGCCATTTTAAGACAAAGAAAATTGCAGATTCATTATTATTTGCTTGATGTTGTAAAATTGCTTATATTTTTGCATATGTAAGGCCTTCACTTTCTTCTTCAATTTCAATTATTTCACCAACATGAAATTTAAGTCGATTTGATTTTCTATCATTTTCAATAATAGTATATGAAATATAATCAAAAAATTCTAATTTATTATTAAGAAAAGCACTTCGTAAACTAAAATATTCTGAATATGATATATGTAAATCATGAAAAAGAGGATGCTGTCTGCTTAGTTTTGTTAACCATCCTTCAATGTTAGCTCTTGTTTTTGGCCATTTATTTCTTAATACTATATCTATAAAATTTTTTGGTATCAAATTTGAGATAATTTCAATTTCTTCAATATCATCATTGTCATTAATTTTTAAGTTTTGCTCTGTAGTATATTGTTTGCAAAGTATTGAATATAATGAAATATCTAAAAAAATATTTGAAACTTTATTTATAGTTGTTAGAAAATAGTAATCTTTGCCATCATCAAATAAGTAAGTTAATACAAATGTAGTATTATATCACCGAAGGAGATCTAGTTTAAGATTTTTGTAATTAGTATGTGGTATCATATTTTTATATATTCTGTATACTATTTCTTTAACTTCAACAGATGTGTTCACAAGAGTTGCAAATGTATAAACATGTTGTAGCAAATGAACATTTATATGAACATTAGGTAAGCTTTCAAATATATCTAGAAAAATCTTCAAAAAACTAATTTGTTCTTTTTCAAACAAACTACGAAACTCCTTATAAGTGTCATTTATTATTGTTGTTAAGAAAGCCAACTTAAGTAGTTTTGCTTTAACTACTCAAAGTTTTATTAGTTTAATAATAGCATGATCATTACAAGTTAGCTTATATATATTTTTTAAATGTTTAATTATTTCAGCCTTTAAATGTGAAGGTAATAAAAAGTAACGTAGAATAAATAGCATTAATATTGCTAGACATAAAGTATCTGAAAATATAAAACTATGACAATAAGTTAGTAGATTTGGTGTCTGTAACCATTTTGCTAGTTTTTTGATACTTTTCTAATACTTAAGTCAAGCTACTTCTCTATTAGTATTTAAATATCTAAGAGTCATATCTAGAAGATGTGTAGCTTTACTAGCAAGTGTATAATAAGCATCTTGTGGTGATTGTAAATGTCTGTTCCAATAAAGAGTATCAAGAACTGGCTTTGCACTAAGTTTATATTTACTAGATAGTTGTCAATAAGCAGAGTCTGTTTGTTGCTATACAATTTCATTATATTGTATATTGGTTAAGTGGTGAAAGTGTGCATTCGCAACAAAGTTAAAGCTAGAGTTTGTTAATTGGTTATTAGATACAGAACAAATTCTGCAACCATAATTTGCATTATGTCTAAATATATCAGCAAGGTCATTACCTTGGGTAAATTAGCTATAACACAGTCAAGTCTACCAATAAGCCATATTTCTCCTTCCAATGTATTTATAATTTTTCTATATTGTAATTGGCGAATATTATCAAGAATTGGTTTAATAAAATCTTTAAATGAAGCTCCAAATGGAACAAAGCCAAGTAGAAAATAATTTTTGAGTAGCTTTTGTAAATCAAGCAGTATATTTCCAATAACTAAATAAACTCCTTCTAATGAATGATATGAATTACGAAATGTCTCAAAATCATCGAAGTAGATATCAAAAAAAACCTTTTTAATAGGTATTGGTCATAATGGTAATAGTAAAATAGGTATATATTCATAAGAAGCTCTGTGCCTTTTAGTAAGGTCACGAATATGCTACCGACTATTAAAACTATATAATATTTTAGTTACAAAATATTCATATTCTACTGGCCTATCAAGATCCTTTAACCAAACATTTATTTGAGTAATATTTTCAGATATAATCAAACACTCTTGTCCTTCAACAAGCCAAAGTTCTTCCATATTTATTCTATGTGCTTTTCTATTCATACTATGCAAGTGTCCAGGAAGCCCATTATATGGAACAAGCGGATCAGCTCTAAGTAGTTGCCTCTTATTAACTTCAACAACACTATAAATACATGCAAACTTAATTGCATTGTCTTGGTGATAATATAAAAAATTGCCTGCTTGATAAGTAACTAATAAAAAAAGACTAATTAGTATGGTAAATCAGAGTGCTAAGTTTTATT